CTGTCTTACCAGTGACAATGACTTCAATGACTTTTTCTTCCAACCTTGTACAAAAGTTTCTAATAAGATACAGTCTGAGGTTTCAGTTTTGCCTCTTCCCACTGGAAAACACCATCAAAAAATACTCACCTGATAGTACGTGCCTAGTTCCTTGCCATTAGCTGTGAAGGTCAGCAGGCCACTTGCAGCATCGACCAAGCAACCAATCTCCAGACCATTATTATTACGTCCTTGTCCAGGGCTCATGCTCTCTCCTGCGCACACCATATAGCAGTTGCTGCGTTTTATACTGAATGTCAAAAGACAAATTTATTTATGGACAGTGTGTAAATTTTGTGTAGTGGACTAAGAACAAATCTCCATGGCTGCAACCAACAGGGCTTTGTGGCTGAAAACAACAGATCCCACCATAATCAATGCCAAATATTAAAGGAAATTGATAGGTCAGAAACCTAGACTTCATAACTTAAAAAATAAAACCTGAAGATGACAAAATATGAACAAGCTAAAATCTTTTGTAAAATTCCAAGAGACAAAACTGACATTGGATTTTAAGTGACTTAATGTTAGGCATAACACAAGGTTTCTAGCATGGATCACAAGCTGAATTGTGGAAAGAAACTGTTGTACTAATTTTAGCCTGCTCAAAACCAAACAGGTCCAAAAATACTACAAGATGTTTCGCTGTACTTTCTACCAGTTCAAAAGTTAGTATTTACAGGATCATGGTCTGAAACTACATAGAAAAGCTGAGTCATTTTACTTTCCAGTGCCTATTGATTTGATTAATTCATTACTCCCTTGTTTCTTCACAAGCAAGAGGAGAGAACATGCAAAGTTACACTTTTTCCTATTACTTTGTTGTCTGAACTTTTTTACATCAATTCAGTTACATTAAATGGGGTGGATTTACAGTTTATAAGCTGTTAGTTGCTTTGATGGGTATAAAATATGTATCTTTTCAAGAAAATTATAACCAACCTCTCATGAACCTTCCCTTTTTCATCTCCCAGTGTAACTGTAACAGTACGCACTCTGTCCAAGTCAAAGCTTGTGTCATACTGGTGAAAGTCCGAGGTAATCCAGCCCACCCAGACATTAGCAGGCTCTTGACCAGGAAATATTCTCACTGAGTAATAGTACTGTCAATTAAAAAAAGGCAGTAAATGTTAGTATTTGATTTCCAGTACATCAGTTTGATCCAGAATTAATTTGTTGCTCTAAAATCTGAAAATATGTCATCTCTTCAGAAATAGCGTAGTGCAAGTGCAATTCATAAGTAAAGCAACAAAAGAATAAAACACTAATCAACATACAGCAAATAAAACATGTATGTTAAAACACAAAAGATTAAAGATGCAGCTTATAAATTTGTATTGCAGTATTCTGAATCATAGCATTGTAGGCTATTTTTATACTGCAGCTACAATTTTATACACTGTAGGTGACTCAGTTTCTAGGATCAGATTTCTAAAACATATTTTAGAAAAAAGCAAATCCATGCAAAGACAAATTATTTTTTCCTTTAAATGTTTAAAAGTGTGTACTTTTTGAGCTGATCTTGTCAGAGAAAAATGAACAAAACTTTCACTAGGAATTCCATTAAATAACTGTTGAGTATAATTAGCATAGATGTTTTGAAATGGTCCTGAACATTGACCTATTAGTGTTATAAACGGTAGTTTCAAAAAATGGATTCCATTTATTTATGGCTTTATATGTGGGAATTGTTTTTGTTTTGACAATCAAGTCAAAACAAAAGGAACGTAGTGGTCTCATCTTCAATAGTACAGGTCTACCACAGACTTTTAAACAAAAATCTTGCCTGAAAATGGCACTGTTTCTGAAACTCTTAGAAGCAAAATCATATAGTTATTAAATGAATAAAAAGGAAACAGCTAAAATACCAGTCCTATGTTACAATACCGTGGAAGTTTGCATCAAATAATCATAGTCATCTCTATCATCTGCTAGCACATCCTCAGTAAGCCGTGCAGAGTGACTCATGCTATAATCTGGCTTTGTTCTCCTCAGCATAAACCTGTAATAAAATAAGTAAAATAAAAATCTATAGGGAAAGCACAATATATCACCATATATACACAAATGACTTTTACATTGATAAATTATTCCTAAAGACTTAATATTTACTATGCTTGCCCTAAATACAAAGTATTTATGACATTATTGATACATAACACTAGTTAGGTTTTTACTTCCATGAAGATTAAACCAAACTAAATTATTCAGAAAAAAGAAAGAGACAAGTTCATTTTTAAAAGCACTTAAATGAATTCTGAGCTTAAATTATATATTCAGAAGTTACTTGGAAACTATACTTATGTAACTTAAATTATGCGGCTGTTAAGCACCTATGTTTACTTTGGAAGAATGTGGAACCTTAAATGACCTTCATGCATTTAAAAATACCATCCATATGCCCCAGTTTATTCTGCAATTCAAATATTTAACAAACCAAGTTTGGCAAAGAAGAGCAGAAAAGGAATGGATAGCTGCAGTAATACTGTTTGAGTAATGACCTAGAGTTTGCATCTCCTAAGCATCATTGAATTAGTGTTTTGCTCCTGTTTCTATTACAAAAATACTAGAGAACGTACTAGAGAATATTCTTATGATTATTTGGTTTATTGAGTGAGATAAGACGCTAATATATATTTCTAGATAAAGATTATCTAAGACTTTCAGCTTTTTGGAAGACACGTGAAAAAAAATGTTGAATGTCACTTTGAAGACATGCCAGTTCTGTCAGAATGGATCTCCATGGTTTTAGAGTGCACTTCACATGATGATCACAAAAGCTTTCACAACAAACCAAGTGGTAAGTTTCTAGTATCTTGAAAAATGTTTTCAGTTTTCTGCTTAATATAAGTATTGCATATGCTGGAAATTAACCACATGAAGGTTAACTGTTCCGCCTACTGTGCTACATTCAAATTTAGGGCAGAATTAAGGAAAAATCTCTGCATGCCTGACTGGCATTTTCCTCTACTATTAATGAAACAAGAAAAAAAAAATTAAAAGAAAAAAGGCAAGCCAAACGCATTACTAACCTTTGTTTAAGACGTGAAGGCTTTTCTTGGACATAATCTTTATGGTTGTTCAACTCTGGTTTTGTAGCATCTTTTTCTCTTTCTGTCCGGTCAGGAACTAGATGACCATGAGCAGTTTTCATTAGAACCTCAAAATCAGAATCAGCATCATAATCTTCCAAGTCACTCTTCGGGCCAAAAAGACCAGAGCCTGGTAACCCTCCTGCAGCTGATCTGGAGAAGACCTCAGCGCATTCAATGGGCATGCTTAATCGAAAAAACATGACGTCTGTTTTACTGTTCTGAGAACCAAAGGACTTCTGTGTGACCTTCAGGCAGGGGCAGCTGTCTATGGTGCCATCAATTCTCAACACCTATCAAACGTAAACATGGAGTTGTTTTGAAGCTGATGCTTTTCCCACTTGTAAACATTCAACTTATATTTCTAGTATAAGCATACATGACTTGCAAAACTTGCAACAGTATTTCTGTCCATGGTCAAATGTGTTGTAGTTATGTTCCGACACTTTAAGGGGAAATGAATGCTATGAGAAATGGAGACTTTTGTTGTTCAGATGTTAAACAAAAGAAGCACTCACAAAGGAATGACCTCTCTCGACATACCTCTTTGCAACATAAATACAACTCTGCCCAGAACAACCCAAACTAACTACTACAAATCATATATATACATATGCAAGAATACAGATTATTGCTTAAATACTACAGGGATCACATCAGCTGGAAGAGTTCTGATTCCATCGGTTTCAGAAGAATTTTATGGTACACATACAAGGCATAAATTGACTAATAAATACTCATTAAAATCAAAACAATTTAGTTACAGAAAAATCACTTCACAAAGTGTGTGCACGAGAACACATTATCTGTTACATAGAAATGCCCAGCTTCTGAAGCGGTTTAGAAACATAGCTCTCAGTGCACAAGGCAATCTTCATGATGCCATCTTGTTGAATTAGTCTCGGAGAATCTCATGTTTGCACACATGACAGATTCATGGATAAAAAAAATACTATCAATGAAACAATTCCATTACCTGCAACTCTACCGAACGTAAGAAATTTTTAACATGTGCAAGGTTCATCCAGAATCGGATCAGTATAACACATTGAAAATTTGTCTTGTCTAGAAGTGCAAAAGCAGAAACAGAATTCAAACACATTCATGGCAGAAGCACCTAGAAACATTTTAACAGGATCACAAACCTCAATATGTTCATGATTTTGTGGTACTGGTAGAAACTGAGGGAGCCTTTTACTCAGCCAAATGGTGATGTCTCTGTTTGTATTAACAGCGAAGGGTTCATACCCTTCCTGTAAGCCACAGATAGTGAAATATTTTAGAGTGCTGACATCTTTTCCAAAGTTCATTCTTCCCACTTGAGATGGGCCCAGGCTGCACACAGGTAGAAATCCTTAAAATAGGATGAAAGAATGGATCAGTTATATAGCATGAACATCAGAGAACTACTCTCTTCCATAACACAGTTATAAATCGTTTGGAAAAAAACAGGTTTAAAAAATCCCAAACTAAAAATGTATAAATGCAGACAGTCATTAATAGCACATTACTTCTTGCACAACACCAACTACTGTACCAGAAATCTCATTTTGTAAAATAAAGCTCTCTAATAGTCATGGATCTGTTCATACAAGACTCAATTTACTTCATAAAAATCTAGGAGTACTTAAAGGAGTCTGACAACCAGGTATTGGTTAATCTCTCAGGTAAGCTCACAGAAAGTTGACAATTCACTCCAAGTCTTACCACTTATGATATTCCTCCTAAAATTCCATTCAGCATGGTATTTTGAGAAAACGCTAAAAATTACTCCAAAATGAGCATAGTGCTTGTCCATTAAGCTCTTGTAGTGAAAAAATTACAAATATGCATCAAGTGCATGCTTTAGAGTAAAAACAAAAATCATAACACTTTGTGGCTCTGGATAATGAGAACTGACAAAATCATAAAGCAGCCTCATGAAACAGCAGTTTGGCTTTGGGCTAGGATTTTTGGTTTTACATTTTAATCATCTTCTCATTTGTAGGCATTTGCTCTCTTACTGTTTCACTAGCACAGAACTCACTTGGGAGTCCTCTGCACCGCTTCAAAATTAACTTTTTTTTTTTTCCTCAGATTCAGCATCACAATTCAAAAACCTAAGGAAATCTCTTCTTTTGACTGTTCCTTTTCATCCTGATTTTTAATTTCCATTGCTACATTTGATCTAGCTATTAACAAAATTATTTTGTTGATATAAAAGACAACAATGAAGCTCTGGTCAGTGATTCTGGTTCAGTTGAATGTACTGAAGGGTATGAAGAGAAAATACAACTTCCTTAATTTTCTGTAGGCTGCTCAAGTAAAAACATGGGTAGAATATTTATTCCTTGTATGTTCTTTAGAGACGAAAGCAACTCCAGAGCACCATCTACAGGAATGAATGCTCACCAGATAAAAGATCATCCTTCAGTACTAACTCTGGAAGAATTAATTAAAGATAGACAATATTGCTTAACATGTGTATGTGACTCAAGCACGCTAAATTTAGAGACATACACTATTAGTAACAAATTCAAGTCCAGATTTTTATCTTCACAGCAAGGTTCTTAAATCACAAGACATCAACTTCTCAGATAACACAAATTATTTAGACAAGATTCATATCCATTCTGTTAGTACAAATCCAGTGGCAAATAACAATAAAGAGTATTTTCCAGCACAAAATGAAACTAAATCTATTATACAGCCTTAACTAGGAAAGTTATATTTGCATATATAGATATATACTGTGGTAAAGCTCAGCAGCTCTAGTAGGGAGGATTTACTTGGCTCCCTGCTGAGTTAAAAGAATCGATAAGCTGTTGTAGATGATTTTAAACAAAACTAAAAATCAAAACTCTGTTTTCAACAACCTTTCAAATCTCATAGTTGAAAAATAGGAGCAACCTTCTACAGATACCAAGATGTTTGAGAATGGGTTTTCACAAACGAGTCGTGACAGCATGAATCCGCACAATATTAACCAAAAATGACATAATTTTTGCTATGAAGCACATAGGTACATACAAACTAAAGCACATGCTTTTTCTATCTGAATCACCTCACCATTTGACTTCCAGTTCCTATTGATATAAAATCTTTTCAGCTGTTTCCAGGATGTATGGCACCCATATTTAGAATCTTAAGAAGTTTTGCTTTACACATCTTAGAAAGATTATAGTAGATCTGAAAACGGCCAACATGAATGCAATTGCTTTCTTATGAGCAACAATTAAAGAAATTAGAATACTTCAGCCCCCACAAAAAAATGGGGAGTGGGGGTGGTATGATACATACCTCCATTATGAGTGGCATAAAGAAGATGAACAGTAAAAGAATTTTCAATGTCTTCATAACAAAAATTATGATCAAAGAAACTGTTTGGTAGCAAGCATCAAAACAACAGGAGGAATTTCCTTTTACACCACTATGGAATTTTCTGTAACAGCATCATGGATGCTAAAAGCTCACATTTATTCAAGAAGTACTTTTGGTACAAACACTGTTATATTTTCATAGAAAACACCAGGGAACAAAAGCTTTAAAAAAAGGTGTTCAAAGGCAAGGAGGTGTAAACTGATCAGCTGCAAACATGCCACACCTATATATGTGTATTTATTTATTATTATATTTATATATATGAACGATTGTTTTATTTTTCTGCACAGGCCAAATACTTCGTGAAAGGAAGTAGCAAACTCTATCTCCAACACCTTCATAATTAACACATAGCCAGTTCTTCTTTATTACAGACTTCATGACAATTGGGAAACAATTGCTTTACAAAACAAAGCAAGCAAGAGCAGCTGATGTTATCAGCAGATTTCAGTAAGCACACATAATAGAAAAAGCAGATAAGGTAATTAGATGCAGTACAAAACCCAAGAAAAGATGATCAACTCCATGAAGAGTAAGATGTATAAATGACACAAAACTAAGTCAAACAGGAATATTTAAAATCTTATTAATATTTACAGTGCTCAAACAAAATGCACATTAGCTGTTAATTCTTCTACCTATGCATTTCCTGTGGACTCAGAAAAAAAAATCTCACACATAGATTCATCCCTAGAGATGAAGCAAATATTTTATACACACACACAACCAAAATGTAAATAAGTATTTGCAAGATTCCCTGAAAGAAAACAAAGAAATGGACAACAAAATTTCTACACAGGTAGAAACTGATGTTTTTACTCAACCTAGTATTTTCTGCCAACCTTGTAACTGTAGCCAATATGACATCAAGATGAAGATTTCTGTCACCAGTACAAATTTCATTGATGCCAGAAAGGTACGGCACATGTAGCTAGCTCCTGCAAGTAATTGTAACTATACAGTAACTGTTGTTCTGCATGAATGGAATATAAATACCAGTGACAGTCCTAGTCAGGGAAGCACTACTTCCAGTCTTGGTGAAATTCTGCACTGATTTGCCAATGGCATAATTGTCATTAAGGTGTTTCGGGGTTCTTCCGTATCTGGTAAACATGGCATCTCATCTTACAGGGAGTGTGCTCGTAAGGCAGTTATGTGTCTGACTGTGGAATAAAAATTAACTTGAAGTATTCTTTGCTAAAGAGGTAGCCAGTCATTTGAGATGTGATACTTCACAGATCCTGGGCAGCCCTTGCATGCTAGAATCTCCAGGTACATAGCTAGGCTATGGAGGAAAACTTTTATTTTACTGTAAGAAATAGTAAAGCATGTAGAAAGACTTTGACACTAACACCAGAAAAGTAACTCTCTAGCATTGTCTGTCACATATAGCGAAAGCACAGGACAGCAACACTTTTTATAATATTCTCTACTTTCAAGAATACAGGATCAACCTCCTGACCTAATCTGTAATGTCAGACTCTCACTACAGCACACTCACATAGATCACAGGTTGACAAAACAAAATTTGTTTTGCAAAGTGTCCTTATTCAAATCTACAGTGTGAAATTTCTCTTACATACATGCATAATACTATGCAATTACGTTTAACTGTTTTACTACTGAGATGGTATCTCACAAACAAATTAGTCTGCCATGATCCCAAGAAGCTCCATTTGTTGGTAGTACAACGTTAAGACACAGCATATGATGCTTCCTGGTAAGCTGGCAGAATGCCATATTCCCTTTTCACTGTCCCTGCATAAATTAAAGCTACAGGGCTGATTTACAGTCAGACTGCATCTTTCAAAACAGGACACTGGGCTCTGATCAGAAATTCTCTCTTTTCTTCTAAAGTGAAAGGTCTGTTTCTGCAGCATCACATGGTGTACACATAATTCACTGATAGAAGTGACCTGCAGAAGGGTCTCCATGCTCTTAAGCAAGAGTCATTAACGAAACCAAACTGAAGCCAGCCTAAAACAGATAAAAAAGTGAAATCGCTATAGAAATCATATTTAATTTGGGTATCTCAGTCATGTGTTTGTGTATACACACACATACATAGAGATGCTATCCCCCTACCATGAAATGTGGATGAAATACTCATCATATTTACAAATATTGATCTGGAGGTATTAAATCTGAGATCAACGAACACATTGCTTTGAAAACAAAATAGATAAATCTAATTTCAAAGGCAAGCTCTTTTCTACAAACATGGCACTAGAGGAATTTAATGTGAATTACAAGATATTGTGACAAATCTGTAAGGCGTGACACCGACATTAAGTCTTTGACACGGTTACCAAGGCCTTCTGGCTCCATGTCAAACCAGGAACTACTTTAGCAGTTTCAGACTCAGAGATCTATTTAAAACTGAACCTGCAGCTAGAAACAAGTACCACAAAAACTATACTACCATCATTTCATTAACTTAGGAACTTTCAACTTATTTCATCAGTGTTCATCAAAATAATGGTCAAACAGCCTACCCTCAGAATTTCACAGAATTCCAGCTTCTCTGAAAATCCCTCACTCCTCAGTGTGATTATTCTGCCTAACAACTGGAAAACTGTAATAATTTAATGCCTATACCACTAACAGTAAGCCAATTCACACTCATTCATGTTATCATAGTATCTAAGGAAATCTGAAGGCAGTAAAGTAATGGGCATGACTGAATGCAGTAAAGTAATGGACAAGGGTCTAGAAAATTAGTGACAGTTATCTCATTTTAAATGAAATCAAATTATCCCTAATTCCATGGTACAGCAGAAGAAGGGAGAAAAAGAAGTTTACTTTTCCACAGCACTCCTGAAAGTAAGATACTCTGAAATCCAGATGAAAGTGGTTAAAATTCAAGCAGGGAACTGCCTAATTAATAGGTGTAAGATTCATATTTCCCCTGGGAATAGGAATCAGTAACCTAAAGGTATCATTTGCAACTTTTACTGTTCAAAAAATTTAACTTTGTCTCTCAGACACAGATGTATTATTTAACAGATGTATAATACATGTGACAGAATATATGTACCTACCACAAATGAAAGAGAAAGCTTAAAGCTTATAATAATTCCTTTTAATGTTACCGTAGTTCAAAAATTTTAGGCAGTTATCTTCATTAATGTAATTTCTTAATCTTTTATGTACCTATTCACACATCAGTATGTAATTAAATTGATAAACAAAAATACTTTTGTGTTATAGAATCAACCTGGCACTTGACACAAGCTCACAATCTTCACCATCTTTTGCACTCACACAAGGTACAGCTTCATGGTAAACAAAAACAAGCCTGTGGACTCCGTAATCTTGTACTAGGAACGCTACAACACGTGCAAAACTCAATCTGCTGATTCAGAATTAAGTGAAAGATTTTGGATGCTAACTTTGTAGCAGGTGGCTTTATCCTGGATCAGGTGTCATTTCTACGCCTAGAACTAAAACAAAACTTTAAAGCTGGCTTAAACTCCCTACCATATGTTCTCACTAATTTGACAGAAATTTGGTAGCATTTCAGTACTTGATCCAGATAAAATTTAATGCCCCTGCGCATGGCAGGAACATTGGACTAGGTGATCTTCACAAGTCCCTTCCAACCCAAACCATTGTACAATTCATTCTATGACTCCACTGTGATGACCTGCTGCAGTGCAAATTATTTGTTAGCCGTCAGGAATTTGCAGTTGCAGACACATCCTTGCAAAACAGTGGAAAGGTCTTATCACAAAAGATGGTTGCAAAGTTCACCACAGAAAAAGGCCTTGCCTTATCCTCACACCCAGCATGCCTCTCTTCCACAGGGGTGATACTAACCAAATAGAGAAAAGGACAATGGGTTGTCCCCTAGAGAGAGGTGGGAGGAAGGAAAAGAAAACCAAGAAGCGCACCACATTCAAGGGAAGCCAGAGCAAAAATTGGGCAACATCAGCAAGTTAGCAGCACAAAATATTATAGTACTTACCGTCACCAACCTCAAAGTCCTTGAACGCAAGTTCTGAACCTGAGTCATCAAGCAGGATTTCACCATTTAATGTGAACATCATAGTGTGCTCATTCATATCAACCATGCATCCAACAACATCTCCTGCCAACCAAGAGCGGCCAAAATGCTCATTGCCTTGATGCCACCGCTGTGCCTGAAAAGAATTTAAAATAATTTCAAAGAGTAATAGTGAAGATGTATGTGTTCCCCTCTCCCTTAGTGGTACAACTAACAATTAACCCACTCAATTACAGCAGCACTAAAATTAACACTTTCACAGCATGTAATTCCAAAACAATGCCTGCAAGTACTTCAAGCTGACTTTGAAAATGGAAATCCAACAATTAACTTCCTGCAATCACCCCCAACATCAGTACTGTAAAATGTTGCTAAGTGAGCTGACAGAGGAAACTGCTACTTCAACATTTTAGTAAGAGCATGGCTTATTTTTCTGCAGAAGCAGACTTGCAATGGAAATAATATGCAATCAGTTACAATGTTAAGTAGCTGCTTCACAAACTTTTTTAAGCAATTGTTTTCATTTAATTCAGTAGCCTATAAATTCATTACTTCCAAACAAACATTATTATTTCCTTAAGTATAATTCTAAATAGTTGTGTACAAAATAAATTAAACTTCTTGTCATACCAGATTTTGGAAGGAACAGAATTGTCCATGGATGAGACAAGCATTCTGAGCCTCTGATAGATTCCATAATAGTTGAGGGCATGATTAATGATTCACATGACTGACCTTCAAGCCAAAGACTGCAACGGCTTTGGATGGGGTCTTGGATTGGAATTCAAATAAATTAACGTCTGTCAAGAACTATTATAACACCCATAAAACAAAACAATGCTAATAACAAATAGGTTCCCCATTCATATATTCCATTACAAGCATATTTTTGTCCTCTGAGCCATACTGAAAATCCTGCAATACAAATGAGCCTTTGTGTAACCTGAAGGTCAAAAACTTCTCTCCAACTAAGGAGAGGACCCATCAAAATCAAAGACAAGAAAACAGCTTTTTGGATTGAGACCTAAAGGTAGAAACCTAAGTTTCAGAAAGCAAACTACTTTACAGCTGGTCTAGTAAAGACACAGGACTGAAATAGTTTACTTAAGACAGTCAGGTCATTTACAAAAGCAACTTTTCAGTGCCCTTTTTAAAGCATCTTCTTACATAACATGAAACTGGGAAAAAAAATTAAATTCCAACAACATGAATAAAATACTTCTTGAGAGCTTGGTCTGACCAGGAACAGCCAGGAATATTGCTGATTTCCGTGACATATTACAACAGCAATAAAGGAAATTAATTCCAACATCAGACAAAAGAAACATTTTTATATGAGTCATCATTAGCCTTAAAAGCAATTGTGAGCTAGGTAGCAGTTGTACTTGCCTTCATACTGAAATAAAGTTTTAATGAGTCATTTAATCCATCCATCCTGATGAAAATTAGTATCATATAAAATACTTTGTTTCCTTACATATTTTTTCCACTAGATTTCTATCTCTCATTGTCTCATGCAGAGTTAAATTTGAGCGAAAATCACTGGTTCTATCATACTTCATTTTGTTTAAACTAAGGATTTCCATGAAAACTTAGGTGTACTCTTTGTAACTTTTACATTCCTATAAGAAACTTGTATCAAAGTTTGCCTCAAAGACTTATTGTGAATAATCTTAACCATATTTTGTCTAGTGGTAGTTCTTGTAGAGAGAACAGAGTAAAAATTTAAATGATTGACTCATAGTTAATTATAGCTCTGCCGGTACTTTGAATTCGAATGCATCACTTAGATTTTCAGTGCTTTATATGTAATATACAAATACTGTGAAGCTGTGAAAAGAATTAGAGAAATGCCAAACCTTCCTCATTAATTTTTTAGGTGACACTGATCTTCCTTATTCCACCTACACCCTCAGAGAAATAATTTCATAAACCATAAATGAAAGAAGGCAATCAAGTTGAGGCATGGAATAAGATGTAAAATTAAACATTTTGCAATCACTCATGTTATTATAGGTAAATATATACAAACCTTAAAGCCATCAAAAACAAAAGCTTCTTCATCTGAGCCAAGCTCCTGATCTGGCAGACAGCCTGGCCTGGTCCACCCAACTCTCATGTCTCCTGCAGTAACTGCCTCAAACTCAAAGTACCACTTCCCAGCCTTCACTGCGTAAGTCTTTTCTGTGCGGAAGATCCTGAATTTTTCCATCATCCCACTGCACACATCCAGTCTCATCGCTGTAAGGTTTTTAAAAGAAAAAAAAAAATGAAAAAAAAATACAGAAAGTATTCAACTACTGAAAAAAAACGAAGACGGTGAAAAGAAAAAGCAAAGGAATTCCTTTGAGCATAGTCATGAAAAGAAGAAAGTGCCTACAGAACAGTGTTATGGGGAAAGTGCCCTGCCCATTATGCTTAATCAGCACACTTGGGTACCTCTCTGAAATGACTCTACACTAATTCATCTTCAATGGGGGAAAAATAAAAAGCAGAACTCAGAAGTCTGAGTCACAGAAACATGGATTAACTCACATGACTGGACTATGGCAATGGATGGATACATGTTTTTTAGGAAGGACAGGCTGGGACAGTTGTGAGGAAAAGTTGCTTTTTATGTGAGAGAGCAGCTGGAATGCATGGAGAATGCAATGGAGGATAGTTCAGGAGCCAGTTCAGAACTTAAAGGTCAAGATATGCAGGCAGACCTATATGAGTGCTGTAATGGAGTACTCCAGGGGTACTGGCGTCTACAGTGATATTGGAGACAATCCTGTTTAACATCTTTGTTTATGACATGGATAATGGAACAAAGTACACCCACAGTAAGTCTTCAGATGACAAAAACTGCAAGGAGCAGCCTATGCACCAGACAGTTGTGCTGCCATTCAGACAGACCTCATCAGGCTGGAGAATTGGGTTAAGAAGAATCTGATTAAATTCAACAATATGAAATGCAGTCCTGCACTTGAGGAGGAATAATCCCAGGTGGGAGAATACACTGGGGCTGAGCAGCTGGCAACCACCTCAGCAGAGAAGGATCTGAGGGTCCTGGTAAACAAGTCAGTTAACGTAGCCTCACATGAAAGAATGACAGAAGTATCCTGGACTGCCTCAGAAATAGCCTTGCCAGCAGGTCCAGGGAGGTGATCCTTCCCTTCCACTTGGTACTAGTGAGGCCACATCTGGAGTGCTATGTGCAGTTCTGGGCTTTCCAGTGAAAGAAAGACACCTATTTGGTGGAACAAGTACAGCACAGGGCCATAAACATGAGTAAAGGGCTGGAGTATCTTATAAGTAGAGGCAGAAAGAGATTAAAATGTTCAGCCTAGAGAAGAGAAAGCTCAGGGGGGAATCTCATTTCTAAGTATAAATATCTAGTGGGATGGAATGAAGAAGAGGGAGTCAGACTCTTTCCAGTGGTGCCCAGTGACAGGACAAGAAGCAATTGACACAAGTTAAAAAAAAAAAAAAATTCCATCTGAACACAAGAAAACACTTTTTACTGTAAGGGTGTTCGCACACTAGGATAGGTTGTCAGAGAGATTGTGGAGACTCCATCCTTGGAGATAATCAAAACCCATCTGGACGCGGTCCTGGACAAGCTGCTTTAGCTGACCTTGCCTGAGTATCTGATCTCAAGAGGTCCCTCCAAACCTAAAAATCTCACTAATTCTGTGAACTGGGCTCTTAGTTATTTTAAGCAAAACCACCAAACATACAAACCTGAACAAAATACAGACTAAATTAATATTCCAATCTCCATAAAAGACAAACATTTGTCTTTGAAATAAGATTCCTTAACTGAGACATCGTATTTACTGAAAGATTGTGGTCAATTCACCTAATCTCATTTAAATTCTAAAATTCATATTTCTTACGTCTTTATTATAAGAAAGCATTACCGTATTTCTTAGTTTTTATAATAAATAATAGAGCAAAGGTTGCAATTAAGATGTTTTTGCAGATGCAATGGAAAATGAATGATAGGAATCATAAAAGGAAGTCTTGCATGAAGCTTTAACAACAACAAAAATCCCAAAGTAATTATCCTTCTGCTTCAGGAAAAAATACATTAACTTCTGTCAAGATAAAGGGCAGCAAATCTAGAAAGACTAAAGATGATCTTAAGAAGGGCATAAAAGTAGTGTTGAAGGCAACTCCCATTCAAGGTAAAGCAAGTTACTGTTCAAGAAACAAAGGAATACCTAGTCACAGCCAGAGTGCTATTTAGAAATAACAAGATGCCACATTTGAATTATGTTGACTGTTCTTTATTCTCTTTCAAACTATTGAAGAAATAGTCAGATCACTAGTGAGATTTCAGAGTGCATTAAAAACTGCCATTTCTCACCTCAAAGTCACTGTTTGTCAATTGTCAAGGTGAGATGAAGAAAAAGAGCTTGTTCACATTTCCTACCTAGTGCAACAGAGTGTAAAATGACATTAGCAGCCATGTGAAAACAAAAGCTTTCACAGAGGCTGATTCATTTGTTTAAGTATTTGTAGCATGATCACACACGTTTATCTTACCATAGTTTTCTATGCCTCATTCCAAAATTCTCTTAATTGCAAGTGATTCATTATAAGCTAGTTTATGAGTGTTTAAGTTAAACTTAACTCTTTGTCAGGTAATTATAAGTATTCTTTCTCAAAGATCATATAACTACATGAAGTTTCAAAGGAGGCTAGTTAAGTTTTGACACATTCAACCTATTCCTTCTAAATATGTTCACTGATTCTCTTACTCCACAAAAGAATAACAGCATAAAAAATACTGAAAACAAGTAAGCTGGGTTATTATTGGGGTGCTTCAGAGAAATAGGAGAAAAGAAACCCTAAGGGAAGGGTAAAAATGTAAACATGTTACTATATCTCCTCTGTAACGTCAGTATAAACAAGCTTAGCTTATGGGTCATATTTCTGCTTTATAACATTTCTGGGATGTATAAGCAAAGCGTTTTAAAAGGAGAAAAAGTATACTGGTACATATACTGCTTTGAGACACAAACAGATCTATATTTTTTTTTATTGACAACTAACAATTAATAAAGTTTTGAACTTGAATCTCTAAGCTCTGATTCAATTTGCCAACTATCCAACCCAGTTCTCTTATGGGTTATCCTGGTCCTTTGCTGCCATTTCCACTCTTTTCTAGTGTTATCCCACCATCCATTTCAGATCAATCTGTTCCAACAGAAATGTACTTTTATTCCTGCCATTCACAAAACCACAAATCTTAGATTCACATTCTTCAATTTTCTTCTTTCCCTCATTGCACTGAACTTACCATCTTGAAAAAAAAAATGCCTTTATTTATTAATCTACAGCTATGTGGCATCCACCTATAGAAAATGTACTCAAAAATTACCTGAGAACATTTACTCATTAATATTACCTGACTATTACTACTCATAAACCTACTTAGTGCCTTGGAGATGGCAATTCCTAATATTCTTTTCAACACTTTTAATCCTATCTCCTTCCTGCTTTCCTTCACTATTTTGTATCAGTATATAGTGAGTTTTCCCATACTGAGCTGCCTTTCACTGCTCCACAACTTTTCTTGACATAGTATATTTTTCTAGAATAGTTTCAAGTGCAACTTTGTATGGCAAGTACATGCAAACCTTTCTCACTGTTCCTTACTTAGTACAGTCCTACAGTCTGTTTCTGACACTTCTTTTCAAGACCTTATTAGCAATCCAAACCATTAGGTAGCTTGAAGTGACAAAAACCACACTTTAAAAAGACAAAGATTTCAAAAAGCACAAGAAGTAATGCTGAATCAAATTCTTGATCTTTCTTCCTTAATTTTTCTCAACTACTCTATTCTCTGGTATTTTATACAGCTTTCTTTCTATTAATCAAATTACATAATTCAGAGATCACCCTGACTCTTTTTCTCAGATTAGGAAAAAATGCTTAAACATTTCTGGATCTTTTTGCAAGGTATTAAAACCTGTGCAGCCTTTGAAAATTCAGTATTCTGGTCTGATCTTTGTAATTCCTCCGCTTCCTGAATTTGCTACAAACTTAAATACATCTCCACCTACCTGTCTGTTTGTTAGACCAGCTTAAGAACCTAGCCCTTTCTCTTCTGTTTTCTCAGCCACATCAAGGTCCAATTTCATTATCCATATTTCCAATATTATCTTGACTAGCTTCTAAAATCATGTCCCTCAGAACGTACTATCACTTCTGTCACCAAATGCCTGACTTCAGTTAGGTCAGGCTCATTAAGTTTCCTGTAAGCAACTATGAGCTCTCTTCCACTTAATTCCTTATCAGTAAAATTTTCTCTTTGATAGCCTACACAATTAATGCCTTAAAAACAGTTTTAAAGATTCTTAGTACCTTACCTATCCAGGAGACAAACCACCACAAAACATGGGAACTTTTGTTGTCTTTCTAGATTCTTTTTAGCCTCCAAAATACAGCTGCTACAGGAAATCACTAATTAGTAATACCAATAATAATCATAATAAAGCACAAAAAAATGATGCTATAGAGCTTTGGCAATCAGTATAAAATAAAATCAATTTTCAATAAAATTAGTGGAGATGCAGACCACCACTAGAGGGCTCTAAATCCTTTAACAACAGTATGGATTTGGGCTGACAAAAGAGGTTTCTTACGACATGTTTTATGCATCTCAAAAACTTCAGAAGCTCATAAACTGTACAATCTAAATATCCAGAATGAATATAAAAATCTTTTGCTGAAAGCAATTTGTCTAAGAAAGACCAGTTTGTGGGACACTGTTCTGCTGGTCCTTTCCTCTGGGAATTTTGCAACAGGATCGATAACACCTTTCAAATACAAGGACTGCAATTGTGTTCTTTACATTTTATTAGTAAATTTATGCTCAAGGATCTCTGCATCATAATGAAAACAAACAAACAAACAAAAATTACAGCAATTCATTCCCAAGGAAAGGCAGGACCATATGATTCTCAGAGCTGCAAATGAGGAAAGGGGATTTGGAGGAAATTGCCAAAAATGAGTGTGCTCTCTCTCCCTCTCACCCTGTAACACCAGACAGTTTCTCTATCTTCACAAGAAGCAAAAGCTCCCTATACCAGCCAACTCTCTCAGAAATAAGCAGAAGCCATATTTGCTCTCTTGAAGCAGCATCTCCTTCCCACAGCAGGAGGGGAAGAAAATACAGGATTATGCAGCAGCCTTAAACTCTCCAGACTAGGCACAGGTAGATTTAACAGTCATTTAACAGCATTTTGCCACCAACAAAATCTACTGCACTAGAAACATTGTTCTGCCCGTTCAGCAATCCAGACTTATTACGCACTGATGGTATCAGTAATGCCTCATATTTAAAGTGTAATTTAATAGCAGCCTCTCATAAAAGCTGAGGATCAGAGCATGCATCTGCTTTGGAAAAGAAACTGAAAATGTCAGATTCCCTGCATATATTTTGGGTACAAGTTAATCTAATAAATATGTAAATAAGATATTTATGTAATTTTCCATTTTTTTCCTGTTTAGGAAGACTCAAACTATACGTGCAGAAAATGCTGCCTGAAGTATCAATAAAATTTTAAATCTGACAATTTTGTGAATTTTATAAAATAGCATACATATAATAAGCCATACATTTTACTCCCTGGCATAAGGATATATACTGAGCAAGATGATAAACATGTTTTCCTGATATTCTGTATTTTAGCGCTGTGACTTATAGTATTCAAGATCTTGATCTAAACTGCTAAAGCTTTTAATTTTTTAAAAATCTGAACTGTCAAATATACAAAATGAACAGTGAAGTGTAAGAAATACAGTGAGATTGCATCACTGAATTAAAATGTAAAAAATTTTCATTTTGTAATTCTTCATCTCAGGCCACAAGAAAAGAAAGGCAAACAATAAGGAAAGTAGGATCAAAGAGAAACAGAAACATCAGCAGATGGACCTATTAGCTCTGGACACACTGTACCTGTTCAGTTAGTTTTGTTGGACCAAAAATTTAGTAGTTGAGTGCAAATTTAATTTAATTTTTGAAGAGAGAGAGAGGGAAAATAAAACAACAACATTAATCACCATGATCTTGATCAGGAGCTTCCAGGTGGTAGCCATAGCCCAGAAGGGTGCGGACCGCTTCCCGAAGACTGTCTTTGTTTGACTTCTTTGTCCGATCATCCAAAAGAGCATAAGGCACGAGGCGAGGATTTCGTCGATTCTTCACGTCCTGCGGAAGTATGAAAAATCAACTCAATTTCAGAAACTGTGTTTTGTCTTAAAGACAAAATTGTACTATAGCAGAAGTATTAAAATTAGTCTTTATAAGAACTGAAATCATGGAACTGCAAATACAGCAAGGACTCAAAGATGTTGCAATATCCTAAAAAGTAGTAGCAACATTGAATTTGGCAAAAAAAGAAGGCAATACACAAATAAGCATAACTGTGTGGCTAGCATCTGCCTTCATTTCCCACCAAACTTACCTAATAGGATAACAATACAAACAAGAATAGAAAAAATGTGAAGAGTTTGATGGAAAAGACAAAGCACTTTGTGCACTGTTTATGAAGCAGCTACCTTAACAAGAAACTTGTAGATAACTGAAGCTCACCAGACATTACTGTAGCACAAATACTTGCAGGCTTCATTTGTTGTCCTCTAAACACTTAAATACAAGGCTATAAATTCATAAGGCCTTTTTCCCTATGGTGAGTAAATAAGAAATGCAGTTATTAACCAGTTCTTGATGAAATCTGGTTCTACCAGGGATCCTTCTAGAAGATAGATTATGGGACAAGCATTACCTATATTCTAAAAGGGTTAACAGAAAGATAATGAGCTGCTGAGGACACAAATTACTACATATAGTCTCTCGTTATGTTCCGTGGGAAGGACAGCGACAAGGCCAACACAAGGACTATTTGAGGAGATTATTTTCCTTATTTATTCCAAACACTTAAACTGACATCCCCCTTTTTCCAGTATTTAAGTTGGTAGATGTGGCAAAGGGCTGCTTCCGGAAGAAGAATGGACCAAACAAATGTTGAAGCAAATGCTATAAGGAATTATTATTTTATATGAGAATATTCATATTAACATCAAAGATTAAACACTGTGGGCTTAAGTATTTGTCTTGGAAAGAACACAGAAGGAGAAATAATTTCCTCTGAAACATGTATGTCCAAATGATATTATGAAATACTGCCTTTAAAAATATGAAACATAAGTTTGGAACAATTATGTAACTTCTCCATGATATATAGATGACTCATGCACTGGCAACTGCCATAGCAATCATTAAAACACATTAACATAGAGACAATCAGCTGATAGCAATGTATGATAATGAAATACAGTGTAAGTGCTTTTCAAAATCAGAGTCAGGGGGAAAAACAGCTTAAAGAAATCATAAGCATTAAATGTAATTTTACAGATTTTTTTCCTTGAGTCTATTTTTATTTAATATTGTGACCTTTTTCACCCATTCAAGACTTTGGCTACTTCTTCAAATCCAAATATGGCAAGGGATTTTTCTTTTAATAATTTTGGGGTTTTTTTCCTACAATATGTCTATAAATGTTGAATGTTTTATGTATTGCTTAATTAAGAACTGTTATCATTACACTTACAGAAGTTTTTGCACTAATGTTCTTCTGCATGTCTGTGGTTTAAGCGTAGGTAATCAAGGGAATGAACCTATACAGTGATTGAGCTTTGCACAATCACAATCAACTCAACAAGAAAACTTGATTACCTGAGTGGTAATTTTTACTAAGTACATTTGCAGTTTGCACATGGACTTAATTCTTCCTATTCACTACCGAAAAGTTACTTGTTTGTAGTGTAGACTGTTAAAAAAAAGGAAAATCCAGCCTAAGTTTTTAATTTTTTTCCAGAATTTTCCAGGTTTGAGTCTAATGCTTCATCAGAAGACTGTTTTTGGTAAAGAGTTGTCTGGCGACCACTTGTTCACCAAGCCATTTGAAAGAAAAACAAAAGCAGATCTCCTCCAAAAGACAAGGAAAAAACAAAACCCACAACTTAAGATTGCTGACAAGATTTTGTTTCAAATGGTTTGAGCTGGGTAGCACACATGAAGTTTATGCAATTCTTTTGTTTTGAATTCAGAACCTATCATAGCACAGTTAAAAGGGAAAAAGAAAAAGGCCTATACATTTTATTAAACAACTCTGTCTTCACTAAATGTAACACAAACATTGCATTAGTAATTTAGAATTTGGAGTTAAGTAAGAGAAAATATTGTAACCATGAAAATTTGGAATGCCTGGCTGAATGTGCCCTGATTCTAAATGGAAGGACTAATAACAAATAATGTTAAACTTGAGCGATGTAACACCAACCATGAGTAGTCAGTATTACTTCATACAGTGTGCACCACAGATTTTGCTACATACAGCAAATGATAGACAAAGACGTACTTGAATTAGCACACATATACACATTTGTAGGGTAGAAACTGGATTTGAAAGAAGCAATAATTTGACAACAACGGCTCTCACTGAATATAGTTCTTAAAAATAACAGAAAAGAACCACAGGAAAAAAAAAAAAAAAAAAACTGAACACACATCAACAAATAGTAACAAGCCTTTTAAAACTGCCATTACAGGTAATGAACACTGTTTCAAAATCATTCACAGAGGAAACACCCTGGGCGCAGAGAGGTGCAGAACTACATTCATTCATTCAGTGAGTATGTGACGTGCAGATAACTGATCCAGCGCACTGGATCTAGCAACTGCTCTTCCAGCTTGCAGAGACAGACGTCATGTAAGAGTTAGAATGAAACAAGAGGAGTGTCCATACTGTCCACAGAAGCATAGAAACACACAGTCAAATCCTATAACCAGCTCTAAAAGAAGAGCCTATGAACAGATACAGTAAGTCTAATAAAGTTGTACCTCTAAACCTCTAAAAGGCACCTGAAATGATAAAGAATAATATAGTTTTTATAGCTATAAATGTGATACCACAACCTGTGTGCTCCTGGGCCTTCCCAAAGCCCTGAGAAAGCTCAGGAACAGCACAGATCACTAGACTAAAGGGAACAAAAAGACACCAGAAACATACATAAATAAATCCTATCAAAAAAAAAAAAGACAGGAAAAGACCAAAAAAATGAAAACACAGACTAGAAAAAGTGCAGGAAAAATATGATAATAACTTAACAGGATTATAAGTTTTGAGACTTAAAGTGTTAGAGCTGTAGAGATGCATATTCTGTGTGGTACTGAAATAATTTTGTTCTCATAACCAAGGCTGTTAAATGACAAGCACAAAGCAAATATATTTCAGTAAGACAGACATGCTACTGTTTTCCTAGCTTCATCTGCACCATTAGAAAACACTCATTCCACAGCTGTGACTTGATTTTGCTTGCTGCCATGTCTGTGGATCTTGCACCTCCATGAAGACTTCTGAGCAATCGCCACAGCAACTGCTGCTGGTGAGTTTGCCAGCCATGCTGCCAGACACCCACCTCAGTGAGCTACCATGGGAGTGTGCAGCATCCACACCGTGAACAGCATCAGTTACCTACACCGTGCGTTCCATCTCCTATTATCCAGAGACCTAGCTTTTCTGCATTTATCATGGCAGCTCATGGTTAACCATAAACCATTAAAATTAAAAATTGTTTTGTAGAGGAAACAGGAAAGATATAATCCTAAATAAGTCCTAACAAAGACATATTCTTGGCAATCTTAACAAATATCCTAAATCTATCCACACTCATGAAGTTGTGTTCCTATCGTGGCATACTAGCAGCCGAGCTCTGTCCTTAGAAGCATGTGTATCCTTAGAAATATGTGTACAGCTTCTGTCATCTTCACTGGAGATCATACCCATATGGAATATCTGGCAGAAGGTGAAGGTGCCCTGACTAGAAATGGAATGAACTAATATATCAGGATAAACAATATAAAATGTGAAAGTGAGGCAACATAAGTAGCTTTTGCAAGGCCATGATGCCTTTTTATATATGTCTAGTGACAAAATAAATTACAAGATCTCAGCTTGTGACTTTTCCCATACATCTGTATCTTCTCAGTCTGAATTTTCCAAACAGCACCTATCCTGCATCACAGTCCTAGGCAGTCTGAGAAGACCAACTGCTGACCAAATAGCGATGTCATATGCTTTCTAAAAAAAGAACCTAAAAAACACAAGATCCTGACTTAATGATTTTGTGCATGTTTTTCCACTTATCCTTGCTATTTCATACGCTCTTTTAAGCGGAAATATGTATTTTTCCTTCCTCTTGTGCTCCTTGGTTGTGCTCATTTCATGGAGCAACAAGATACTGTGAGCCTGTCCTACTAAAACAATGCATATTTGTGGCTAGTTTTGTCACAGCTGTCAGCACAGTCCTGGGAACAGGAGTCAGAAGTTACCTTGTGCCCCCTCTGCTGGCTGGCTGGTTGGCTCTGCAGCAGCAGAACAAACGCTGGGTGTAGTCACGCACAAAGAGCAGCTATGTCATTGTTATGAAAAAATGCTGACAACCAGCGGAGGACTTAGAAGAAGAAAAAATATCTGAAACTTGGAAAGCATTTTCCCCACCAGTTTGTAACACGAAATAAATGGTTTATTAACTACTTGACAGTATCCCTTCAATTTTTTCATATTATATAATCCCAAAATGATAAGGCACTCACAGTGGAACAGGCTGACTAGATCTAATCCATCCTACAGCCACAGCATGATCGCTCTTTATAACACATTTCCCAGTGATTAGTTCACCTATTTTCAAACATTTGTAAGCTTCTTTCCCTTAGGAAACTATTTCATAGCTCTGCAAGACCTGTTTATAGTATTACACAGCATAACATCGTGTCACTTTACTACAGTACCGTAACATGTCATAGTAATAAGATGGGATGGCAAAATGTAGCCCACGAAACAAACCCATTGCTGGAGTCAGGCAGAAGCACATAGCAGGGTGGACAAGAGCTAGCATGATTCGTGAGCCGTACACCAGCTAAATGAGAAGCATGTTTGCACCCAGAAAGGAGCTCCTTGCCATTCTGCTCTGTTCTTCTGACATTTAATGAACGGTAGTTGTTATCTGCACATTGTAAGCACCATCAGAATTCAGTTGTTTGTCTTCTCTCCAGGGGAAAATAAACTTAATTATTTGAAAAGAAAATAATTGAATTAAGAGGAAATCAACACCAACCGTATACAAAAGATTGGCAAATAGAATGAGTTTTGGTCTTGTAGAAAAACAAAATTTGAAAAGTGCTGTGTAGCTTGAATTTTAGTCAAAATCAAAACCACTGTTTGTAGGCAGTAAAGAACAGATGCCTACAAAAAAGCTATTTCTCATTTTTGCAAAAATAATGATCTTTTACGCTCAGTGCAAAACAATGAAAACTATTTTTTTCTCCAAAGGGTGAATTTCCCTAAAACTTCACTGAGATATGCTACCACACATATGATTAACAGAAATGAAGACATCTTTCTCTATATAAAATTCACAAATAATCACAAAAAGAACAGAAAATATGACTCATAAGGGAAAATTGATATAGTAGCTGTCTGGAAAAAGAATAAATAAGGCTCACTGTATATACAATTGACTTTCTTTACAAAAGAAAGCAAAGACCCTGAGTTGCACTGTGAACAATCCATCATGCTTAATTTTTATTCCCCTCCCTTATAACCCTTTATGATCCCTATCACACAGCATTCCAATCTACTGAAACAAAATCACTAAAGTAGAACTGGAACTTGGAGACTGACAACTATTCTCAGCTAAACATGGCCTCTGCCAGAAACCCAACATATTAGTGAAGTGATTACTACAAGTTTACATTCTGATTTTCCTGGATAAACAAAATTATTCAATTCCCAGGACTGGAAACATTTAAATAATTTCCCTACTGAAAGTCAATATTTACATTTCTTAAAATACTACAGCATATTAGCTTCCTGCATGCAATTTTCTCACCCTGAGATCTAGACAGCATACTAGAATATACCACCATTTTTTTTAACACAGCTTGTAAAAGAAGAGTCTGATCCTGCTTAGAGATCTAGCAGGATTTATTTATGTATTTTTGCTTTCTTTGACAGACTCACATTCATTAGCTGTTTCTTCCTCCTTTTGTATTCTCATTATTCCCATTTAACTGTGAAATATCTCAATAGATAGATGCTTTTTCAAGTGACTGAAGTTAGCACTTACCTGCTGGATACCATATGTCCAGCCTTGCCTTATACGGTCCCTTGCCCACACATTGTGAGCATTCTCAGCTAGTTTATCCACCATCGCTTCTTGGGAGGGGGTCAGTTTGATAAAACTCAGATCCATGGGAGCAGGCTTATATCCACTCAACAACTGATAGCTGCCAGAAAACACAGAACTTGCAGTCACTTTTCAGTATGAAAAAAACAATAGAAACTGCAAAGGAGAGGCACATATGCAATATATATATATATATAAACAATCTGCCTTTCAACATAAAGAATACTAATGCATTGGCATTTGATTTTGTTTCAAGATAAGTGCATCTTGATGGGATGAATAGTTGGTAATGAAAGCTACCCAAAATGGTCTGAACGAAAAATGTTTTTTAAAGTATTTTAGTACTTCAACATATTTAAAGTAGTAGATTAAGATATTGCTTAGCTAAATACTTATATGAACACTATTATTTTTACCCCTGTGCACTCTGCTATCCTTATTAAGCCCTATTTCCTACTGAAGCATGAAAATATATTCTTCCTATTATGTATAGGGATATGAGAGACATAACATATCAAGTGGCTTACTCAGGATCACATATGAAGCCCATCTAGTAATAAAAGTTCCTCTTTGTAATACTCCATACCTTAACTATCCTTCAAAGCATAGAAGCAAATGTTTGAAATTTAAGCATGACTTCAGAACAGAGAGCCTCAGCTGTTGAGGCAGCATGCAGGGAAAGGGGAGCAGCAAGAGATGAGCAGGGGAGCAGACAGACAGGGTCTGTCTGGGTGTTTGTGCCCAGGGGCTGGTGGGTTGGGGCTCCAGGATGGCCTCTGTGAGGAGAGGCCAGGGCTGCCCCATGCTGTGCACAACCGCTTCCAGCCCGCTCCAAAAGGGACCCACCACTGGCCAAAGCTGCGCCCCTCAGACATGCTGGTGACATCTCTGGGAAAAACTTTTTAAGAAAGGGCAAAAATGCTGCGCAGGCAGAGAGGCATGAGGAAAAGTGTGAAAAAGAGCCTGGCAGATACCAAGGCCAGGGGCACTCCAGGTCCCAGAGCTGGCACTTCGCTGCAGCCCCAGGAGTGACCAACCCACAGCTGGTGGACATGCCCTGAATATCCCTGAGTATTTCTCCTCGAGCATACTGACAAAACAAAACACTATTTCGCTCATAACATAACAGTTCTGTATATAAACAACAACAATAAAATAATAATAAAATAAACAACAACATTCTCACACTGAAATTATATGTGCTGGCACATTTAAAGAATGGCCAGTTTAAATAATTGTCTGATTATTTTCTAAACAACTTTGTAATTTTCTTGCTTTTTCTTTATTTGGACCGACAGAGAGAAATCCAGAAAAATAAACTGTATTTCTCCTCATTTATATTGTAAAATATTCAAATGCTTTAAAAACCTTAATTAATTCTCTTCTGTGATAACTGTTGTAAAAACCATTTAAACAAATAATTGTTTGAAAACAATTATTGAAAACAAGAAAGTATTTAAGGGGGATTATCATCTATAAACATGAGCTTGGAACTTCCTTCAAAATTACCACATGTAAAAATAAAAAAAATCAAGTCTGAAAGCAACAACTCATGAACATCAATCTAAAATCAACCATTCATGTAGTTACCAATCAACAAATTTCTATTACAGAATTAAGCAAGCAGTTGGCAGTTGTGCTGTTATCTCCCACATGCTAGGTGATTGTGAAGTCCCTGCAGTGAGATGAGTAAAACTTGACAGTAATGGAAATAGTGAATCATACAGAATTAACACATTTGTCAGGCTGGCAATTACTGTGTTCTTTCCTGCCACACTCCCCTGAATAAGTGCTTTGTTATGCACATAAAAGCTATGATAATCCCAGCTATTTCAATACCAGAATAAGGTCAAAGAATCAGGGGTCTCAATGGATGCTCAGAACTTTGTCACAGAGGATGTGTATACCTTATTTCAGATGTAAATAAATTCTCATCAAGGATAAGTACTAAGAAAATACTTAGGAAAATAGCAAAAGCATAGTGTGTACAAATTTATTTTGAAGAATTGTCTTTAAGTGCAGACTGATGTTACTTGTTGAAATATGTAGCTAAAAGCCCACATCCTCTGTGGTCATCTGCAGATCAGTATCTTACTGGTCTTATCTTGCTCACTTGCTCAGTATCACTGCTGGCCTTGTATTTACTTTTTTTTTTTTTTTTTTTTTTTTTTTTTTTTTTTTTTTTATTTTTTTTAAGAAGCAGGTAAATTTAACCACTTCAACAGCACATTTTTCACTACCATATTGAGCTGCCATTCAATTATAACAAGCATTATAGAATTTTTATTTGTACCACCACCACCTAAAGTTAAAGAGTAGCAGATAAATTGTCAGCTGATCTTAGTCTATACTCTGTTCTCTTGATCAAAGACTTTCAGCAGTTTACATGACTTGCAAAAAAAAAAAAAAAAATGAGAAGATTACACATAGCAAAAAATGGGATTTTGAAGCTTTTCTTCTTTTCATTCTGACATTTTTTTTCCCACTTGATTTAGACTTTTTTTTTTTAACCCATAGAAACACTAAATATTTCAAAATTATTAAAATAAAGATTGTGAATTTTTCAGGGACATATTTTAAAATAAAAGGTTATTGAAGGATGCTTTATTCAAAAACCTAAAGTAAAGTTACATCCAGAAAAGCTTCCTAATAAAAAGAGAATTTCCATCAGCAAAAGTTGTGTTTGCAGTACGCTTCAGCTGGTCATTAAAAATGGTCAAAAAAAACTCTTTTGTGAAGTGATGTGATAGTAGAAAGGCAAATTTCTGGCACAACTGTCAGTTAAAAATGTGATTCTCCTCAACTTGGAACCAGTGTGGCTGTGATGCCAAAATTCTGTAGGACTGACACAAATATAGCCTTAGCATTTTATAATTTTCATTGTTACAACAAGATGGCAGAAAAATAAGCAAAGGGTTAAGGAGACAGGCAAGATTATACAAAGTAAGGTCCAAAAATTTCTTAAAAGGCAGAACAGACGAGCTAATTACTTTCAAGTGATGTCTATCGCTTTTGTTTTTCTTAATAGCATTAAGTTTTTATTTCAGGCTGATATGAGAACTTAAATTATCGTGGAAAAACTTACAAAGCGTTGGGATAACGCACCTGTATCATCTACAGGAACAGAAATAACCTACAAACATAGGAAGTGACTTTTCTTCTTCCATCAGAAAAATCAGCTTTTTACACGTTACACTCTGTAACCTTTTGTTATGGTTAATTTTATTCTAACTGTGAAACAGCAACCTGTCTTCTCTCCAGGATTGTATCCCACAAAAAACATGATCTAGCCTTATAGCTGCACAACTGTTTCTAAATCATGAAATCTCTGCTTCATTTTTGCTCAACAAACATCTGATGTTACCAAGAATGTAGCCAAATTTTTTTTTTCTTTTCTTTTTTACTCATTTTTAACATCCATTGTACATGAGACGTTGAAATTCTGATTCGTTTTGTATAGTAGGACCTCAAGTTTCTAAAGTTATGACTGGTAATGACATTAAAAAGATCCAGCATTATCACTTTTCTTAAACTGGGAAGTATAATTTCTTCAGACCTGAGATTTAGCTGCAGTTTTCTGAAAGCATCATATTTAATTCATTTGAACAATCTTGCAAATGCATATGCATTTCTGCACAGGAAATTCAGAACAAAAACAGAGAAGGCCCTTGCTATATCTTGGGTTTATTCTTATGTGCAGCTATTCTGAGATAGTAAAACTGAAGAACAGTTTGGGGGAATTTAAACTAATCCCTTGCTTGTGTTCTCATTCATTCTTGTGAAGTGACCACATTGGGGATTCTGAAAGTGTGATATCAGTACTATATAAATCAGTGAAGTGTGGCATAAATCAAAGAGTTGGGGGTCCAGCTTCTCATAACTACCTTGTAGTAAAGTGTTACCTAGAAACCGGAAGGAACCTTGCCAGAACAGAGCACGTGCTCACAACAGGAAAAAGGCAGGCACGCTTTTGTTAAACATGGTCTTGGGGTTATTATAGGGGCCTCAGTGTATAGAATATGAAGGTATGGGTCAGTGAAAGGCTACTGTGCATAATGGAGATATACAACAGCACAGGAGCATCTATTTCTGCACAGATCACATCCCTGAAAAGAGCTATGAGTTGCTACTTGTGGCAGCAGCTTAACTAGCACTTACCATTATTCTTATGAGTAAGATTTAAGGACCAAGGACTAAAATCAAGGCAACTAAATTACTAATTTCAATTCAGGAATACCAGAACACATGGAAGCTCTCTCATACTGAAACTGTGACCTTTACCCTTCTGGTTTTATACACATTGTAATCCTCCTTCATCCAATGGGCTCAAATGCATGTTGGGCCACAGGGCTGTCATATGCTTATCACCAAGTACAATTCCTTCATTTTCAACTGTGTTAAAGATTCTAAATTCTTCATTCCCTAACTTGGGAGTGCACTGGTGCTAAAGAAGAAACCAAGACATCTTGACTAGGGCATGAGAGCTGGTTTCAGAGCTGCAGTACTGGAGGCCATTATACCAGACCAGCCTTGAGCCCAGTCCTACCAAAGCTGTTGCCAATCACTCAGGAAAACATTCAGGTGGCTACGGGCGTTCCCTCCACTTCAAGTTACCGGATGGCCATTCTAGGACTTTCAAAAGGGTTACCTATAAATATTATCATTACAGCAAAATATCTTGACTAGTTTGCTGTAAAAGTTCTTTATCAAGTTTCTGCAATATACTCCATACAACAGAACTAAGTAACAGTGAATGCCAGACATTTCAATGAATCACAGAAAATCTAAATTTTGTCTACACATCAGATTTGCGAACATGTAAAAGAACAGGTGTAAATGAAGGTGTGTGTAAATTTCTGAAAATTTATATGCATACCCAAGTACAAACAAAACTTACAATATAAACATCAAATTGTTAAAACACTGTTTGCTTGATTCACTCTGCTTAACAAAAAAAAGATGCATTTGAATTGCAACTTACTTCTTTGGAAGTTTCATTTTTTTCACTTTTTCTTCAGCGTGTTCATCAGCAATTCCAACATGGCAGCCTAATGCCAGCAGGGTTCTAGGACACAGAAATCAGAGATACATCACTGCCAATGTCTCTATATTCCGAGATGCTGCTGTGTATATAAATGGCACTGTACAACAAATGAGATCTATGGGAATAACAACAATATGGCAAGATCAGCACCAGTCTTTTTGTATATGTACTAAGCTTTCTGATACTGTAAAGAAAATGCCACGAGATGTTAGTAAAACTTTTAGTAAATATATAAGTGGACTACTTCAAAATGGAACTACCTTACAGTCTATTTCATTAATATGAAGCACCAGCTGAAAGATTCCCTGCCCTAGAAACATATATTTCTGCTTTTTTCATACTGCTTATATACTCATTCATATTGGTTTATAACACAATCTTTTAATGTTATCTTATTTACTTCAAAAATAATGAAAGAAGAAAAGGCAGGAAATGTCACTTGTTACCCTTAGAATGTGCCTCCTTTACAAAGAGAGGCTGTTATTCAGAGATTTTAATTGGCTCTGGATTTTGTTAGGACATGGTACTGAAGAGAGGGCTGACAGCAGAATGCACGAGGAGCATTAGGCCAGAACTGCCACCTTAACGCTTGGTGTGGATGCCGCGTGTTCATCCGCGTCAGAGGAAAGGATTCAAGCTAGACAGTCTGTCATGTACCCCCCAAGGTTTCTACCACAGAGGCACTGACCCACACAGCAGATTCTGGCCTGACTCTGCAAGATACAGCTCATTTCAGAAAGCACTCTCTACGTAACCTTACAACAGGCTTGGCAGTATAGTCAGGTTTCTGATTACTTCAGATCTCTTCCTTTCCTTACAGTCACAGTCTCCAGCAGTATATATCTCAAATCTCACCACTCTCTAGGATTTGCTCTGCAAATCATCAATTATTGGTTCCTGCATTTACATCCTATGTTAGGTTAGTAAGCATTAGTTTCTTTAGCCTAGTTGCATTACTAAAATATTGACACTGAAAAGAAATTCTGGACAGAAATCAGAGACAACCTTGGAATCAGATCCCAAGTTTCTCAAAATCTGAGGGTGACAACCATATCTTTGATTGATTATGCAGAAGAAATCACAACTGTAAACCTTGGACTCCATTCCCAATTTTCCCAATGTGGAAGAAAGCTGGAAAACAAGGGGTTTATTTGTTCTTGTCACTAGTTAAAACAGTATTTTCTAGTCTTGCTTTATCTATATCTACTCTTCTTGAACTGTCTGGGTAAAAAAAGAGTATAAGTATTGCCCCAGAAGTAGTTCTCTTGCAAAACGAATCACATGTTTCAAGGAGACTCTTAGCAGCATATTTTTAGTGCTAGCTACATGAAGTAAATCCTACTGTTATGGTCTCTGAATCCTGAAATAAAATTAGACAGTAAAATCAGATACAAGGAAATCAACATGCAGTGGCCACCTCCTGCAAAAAAACAGTATTCACTAAGAATGCTCCATGCAGCTAAATTTAAATTGGCATAAATCATACATGATTCCTATACAGTTACCACCAGGATAAGTAAGAGATCATATCTAAGAATGGAAAGCAGTACAGAGGAGCTAACCCCTAATAACCCTTATTGTTTTGTAATGTAAGATAGGAATTTGAATCCTACATTATCTCCACACAGCAAATTCAAACCAGAGAGCCACAGGATGATAAAAAGGCATATGATACTGACAGAACCAGAAAAACCCCTAAAGCACTTTGAAGCTAAACAAAAAAAAAAAACACTAGAAGTGGCTGAATGCAGCCTTTGGTGTAATATTGATACATGTAATTATCACAAACAACTGAGTAAATAGGTAGAAATGGGAAAGCCAATCACAAAATAATAATCATAAAATTTTAAAAAAGCACGGTAAATCAGCAAGATATATGTAAGAATGTGCAGAAACAGTATAAGCAAGCACATTTTAAACCCATGACATTTCCAGAGGTCACTCATTCCTGGATTTTGACATTTCATATAGCGTATCATTTTTATAGTTCATAAAACTATTCAATAATACTGAAAAATGTACAGAGATCCCAACACATTGAAATGTTGTGTCAGCTAATATGACTTAGAACTTCCTTGTTGTCCTAGTTCGAGTTAGAACTGAACTAATTCTGTTTTTCAGAACTAGTTTTCAGCTGAACTTTTTTCAGCTAAGTCTCTTCTAAGTAACTGTTCTCAAACTAATGGCAGATTTTTGCAGACAGTGTCTCCTTCTAGCAGTGATGACACTCCATGTTTAGTTACCACCAAAGATTAGTGTGCAGAAAGGATCTTGTTTGCACCTGCTCCTGTGCAGACCATGGCTGCTGCAAAACACTGCATGCCACATGGGGGAGTACAGAAAGTGAAAGGCCACACCTGCAGGGAGGAGTGGACAAGGACAGGTGACCCTAAACTGACCAATGAGGTATTCCACCCCCTAGATGTCATATTCAGTATAAAGCTGAGGGATCATGAGGGTTAAGCTCTCTTCTTCAATGGCTGGTCCTTTCTCTGTCTTGACTCTGTCTTGACTCTGTCCTTTCTGCCATCGATCCAAATCCACGTGTTCCTGAATCCAGTTCCAGAAACCACTTCCCATCTACCACTGAGCCCAGTCTGGGACATCCCCAGTGCCTGCCCACAGTGTCCATGGTGTTGGTGACATAATTGCCATCAGGGTGGTTGGTTTTGTATATATTTCATTTTATCATTTTCATCAAAGCTGATTTAGTTTTATTTTCCAATCCATAAGTCTCTGTGTCTTATTCTCTTTTTCTTCCCCTTTGGGAAGGGAGGGGGTTAATGAGCATCCATCATTTGCCTAGTGGCTAGCCAGGCCCAGCCCTTGACGCTTGTTTTCTGCCTCTCTCATCTAGCAGAGCTAGCAGCAAAACTGTCAACAAGCCAACAACAACAACCAAACAACAAAACAAACAAACAAAACCCCACATAAGAGTTATTCTTGATATCTTGCAATGACTTCAGGTATGCAGCATGCAGTTTCATGCAAATTGTAAAGAACATACCATATTGCTGACTAGGGGAAGTTTATAAAGAACATTTTCTTTCCCTGTTCCCCATACTCCCTCATTGAGGTTGACTGCTAGTAGACTAGAAATATATAGTAAAGAAACAGTCCAAGTAGTTTGCAAGTCAACTCATCACATTACAGATCATCTAGAAAGGATTAGTGCACTAATTTTTCCACCTTTGCAAGATTGCAGACATGAACCAAGTTAGATGCTCACATTCCAGTCCCTGAACAATAGATATCTACATGATAAATACAACATGATATTGCAAAGTTAGAACTGAATACTTCAGAAAACAAGGACTAATACATAATGAAGGCAGCTCAGTAAGCATACAAGTTTTGAAATCAATAGAAAGACTGAATGATTTAGCTGTTGGATACTTTTCATCTTTTGGATATTTATTTGCCTTTTGGATACTATCCATTTAAGGAAAAGGCTTTCTCTAAAGTAATAAAATTACTAAAATAAAAATCCATAATTCATATGTTTACATAACAGATTTATTTCTTGTTTTGTCAGGGTGAGATTTAGAAAAGCATTGGGTCCTGAACCATTAATCATGTAAGTGCTACTAAAATCTGTTTAATATTTAGTGAAACATTAGGAGTATGCATTTAATTCTGACAGCATGATTTTTATGACGCCCGAGTCATATTTTATAGATTATTCTAGCAAAAGATCCAACTGTAAGGAAAGTTAATGACATAATATTTTGTAGTTTCATAAAATGGAAAGGAAGAAGCTATTCCGGATTCTTGGCACATTGTTGTGTTGATGGGCATCTCAAAAGTTTTCACTGAAATTCTTATATCTGGCTGAAGACAAATATGAACTTATTTTCTTGCCTTCAACGGAGTTCCATTTATCTCTGGACACGTTATCTCTAAATAATGCCAAAACATCCCTCCAAAAAGTGTTTAACACTTAGGGTCATAAATATATTTTTCATCGAGTGATTTACTTGTTGTGGGAATGGTGGATCAGTAAATAGAGCAGAGAAGCTGACCAGAGAAGGACACCACAATAAACTCTAGGAAGAGTCCTCTACCCGGCTTTCTACTACGACGACAAAGTCCTTGTGAGCGTAAACGCTACATCGCATGATCAGTTTACACAGCAGGTTCTTTTAATAACATAATACAAATATTCCCAGAAAAGTAATATAGATAATTATCCTTCATTAACATTCAGAACAGGAAAAACCAACTACATTTTAACAAGGAAAAAAAAATTCAATGGACTGCAAACAGAATTGACTGGAGAACCACATGTACTGAGTGTTATCAGTTTGAGAAATACATTAACAAGTTGTCTATGTGCCATGCTACATATGGAAGAAACTTCTTACACTAATAAATTTTCAATAGATTCACAGCAAAGTAAGAACTCACACCTGCTTGACCAGCTAAGCTGAGATGAGGAATTGTATCTTTGTGCGCCAGATAACTAGATTACCTGAACAAACCCATGAAGATCACACTGAATTTTTCTAGCACTCCAGCTGGAAAGCTTCCACGACACTCATGCATCTAACTGCTAATCCACAAAAGGAGGGAATGCTTACTACAGTTTTGTGGCAATGTGCACATAGGACACAGAAATAGCAGTAAGGGGTAATGAAGCAAAGCTCATCATGAGTCACATCCAAAAAAATATCTATTGATTGTCAAAGTATGCTTTATCGATGAAGAAAATTAAAAGCAATTAAACCAAATTTAATTAAACCAAGTAAGAAGCAAAGGGGTTTTTTTTCCTAACCTTGGATATATTTATTTCCTCCAAATTAGGTCAAAACAGAGGTGCCATTTCATAACCAGCATTACCACAGTAGTTGTAAAATTCCATAGATATTAAAAAGACTGTAAAATTGGCCATGTTCAATGCCAAATATATAAGTTAATGTACCTCACTCCCTCATTTTCATATTACTATCCTCACCTACATGTCAAATTGTAATTCAGGAAACTCCTTAGGAAACTCTCACTTTAAGCTTCAAAAGTTCTAACAACTTACTTCAGAGTTTCAAGTGACATTTGCAAGTTATAATTTCTTTCCTGCTCTGGCAGTTTTGAGAATTCCACTAAGCATGGGTGTTGTCTCTTGTTGTCATCTCTAATCTGAAAAGACAGTAAAGAAATAAGTTTAGTGTGTCTTAAAAACTAAAAGAAATTTAAGAACAGTTCAAAACAAAGTATTTAAAGCTGATCCTGTTAGAATTACTCAAACTGACCACCCCTTCAAACCAGAAAGCATTGTGTTTTCAAGCATCCATTTTCACAGCATGGTCATTCTACTCGTGTAAGGCAGAATTTGCATTTGTAAATAAATTTCAGATTTGCAGATCTCAAATAGAATGAATGCTAATTTGTACATTTCATTATACAGAATATTACATTATATTTGTCCACAACAAAGGTTCAAATTTCAGCAGTGCAATCTATGTTATGTTTTGACCCACATCCACAAAAAAAAAACAAATTACCTTTAGCACCATGTTTGAAAAATTATACATCTAGTTTCTATAAATATATTGATACAAATAGTGCTGAAGTCCTTACCTGACAGAAGTAACAATATAAAGGATAAATCTACCCTATCTCTTAATTCAGCAAATGTTCATTTCTTATTTATGTCCAGTGGTATACAAGCAGAATGCAACTGTTCAGCAGTCACAAATGATTGGAATATTAATTTACTCTTACTGTAGTGACAGCAGAGTTATGAAGACTATAATGTACAAAATCCTACATTTTATAAACTTTAAAAATTGATCAAAAACTTTTTTAACCTGCACTACTTATATACAGTTGTATTTTGATACTGGCCATAGCTAGGAAGGGCAACCCAAGAGGCATTAGTATGTAAATATTAGCTAAAAGGTCCCAATGAAAATGTTAAAATTTGCTCAGTTGAGACTACATTTTTATCAATATATTAAAATAATTTTGTGCCCATCTTTTATGGACCATAAGATCACAATTTACATTAATCTTTAAAGCTGCAAAGAGAAAGTTACTGAAAAATAACATTACTAATAATTTTTGATTAATCAGATAATTCTGTTAGAAAATGGAATTTTAACAGTTGAAGTTAGGAATCCAAATTGTTACACTTTTTCCAAACTGATCTTTACTCATTTGGTGAATATAGGAAGGCTTTTACATTATTTTAGCTGAAAAAAAAAACATCAAGACAGGAACTTTCAGTGAAGTGGTACCATTGAACTGGATATAATCTGTTCTCAATGGATTGACCTCTTGTTCACATACCGAGTCACATCTGATGTTTAAAAAGGATAAGAAAGCCAGTAGCATATAAACTGGCATGAAATTTCTGACTTCCAAAAAATAAATTATCACACAAACTGATTGCATCCAATAAAAGAACTTTTCATTGGATATTTTAACCTAGATGTCTTAAAATAAAAATGCTTTAGCAGCATGGCAATAAATCTACATACATTATCTAAGTTTACTCTTTAATAAAATAATAATACTGGGACATAAACGTTATGTGTTAGTGCAGGGGAAAGAAAAACAGTCATCTGCAAACCGTAACCTAATCGTAAAGTTGTTCTAATTTCAAGTCTTAAAGTGTTAATTATACATGAGTACTCATACAGTGAATATGAACAAGGATCACTGATAGATTAAATTTATCATATTTCACTTTTGACAGTTCTGTTTTTCTATAACAATAACTGTACACTACTACTCAATCTAGTTTATTTAGTCTCCTGAAAAAAAATCTCACATTGCTATACAACATTTCTGAGTAACATATTTTGCATTATGATCTATGTGCATAATAATTACCAAATTGAACAGCAGTCAAGTGTTTATGTTTGGGATTAAAAATATTTACAAGTAGCAGGGGATATTTCCCTTCATGTGATGGGATTAATGTTCTTTGGATAGATAATACAAGCAGTTCAGCTGTCAAGCTACTTGAGCAAAATCATTACCAGCAAAAATGAGACATATCTTTTAGCATATGCTGAAAATGGTTATTTCCAGATTTCTAAGACCTATGGTAATCTATATTAATAAAGATTTAGTATAGTATTCCAATAAGGACTTTAGATCTGTGTACAGCTATGCAGATCTTGGACACCATGTGTTTTCCTCAGAATTCCAATGTTAATAGAATTTCACCTAGTAAACACTCTCTTCACTCTACAGCTACACTGTATAATTCTTCTATTACATACTCAACATTGTAATCAATTTATCATTGAAATTGTAGGTTGCCTTCCCATCCTCCTTTTTTTCTTCTGAGCACACTATATAAGGTATTTTCAAGGCAGTAGATTTTTATAAGTGGCAGAATTCATGACAATTCTTATTTTTTGTGGCTGGTTTTAAGTGTACAGTGTAGTTTATTAGAAACAAATATGCAGATCCATCTGATGATTTCAAATTGGACACCTAAATACCATTCACATTCATAAATAAGTCAATTAACAAAAGCCCTTAATTTTGATAGATTAGCTTCTTATTTTACTTTGTTACATGTACAAAATGAAGTAATAATATTGCATGCAATATTGCAATATTTGGTATCACTTTGGTGATACTACACACAAATCTACAAAACAGGTTTGTAGAAAGGAATATAAAATGCAATCTACAGGAGATTTTTTAAATAATCTGGAAAAGCTTTAAACCTATGGATTCTCTGCCTCTTAGCTTTTAAACTTTTTGACTTGTTGAAAAAACACCACTAGGTACTACATTTAATTCGTTTTGAAGTAAAAATATCAAATCTAACTAAGATTAGATAACGCATATGTGTGTCTAAATGAGATAATTGCTGTTTCATCCTTTCCCTCAGTACTCAGTAACTGCAGTATACCAATTCAGATAACTAGAGTTGGCAACTGTGGCTTAAACTAATGAAAAAATTTGTGAGGTACCAGTATGATAAAGGAATCAATCTCCAGAAGGTGATCAACATATACTTTGTCACATTCCCAAAGTAAACACATTCAACCATAAATAGATGAAGACAGTAAAGATAAAGAAAATTTAATAAGTTAAAAGGTTTAGCTCCTGGTTTGTCTCTGAATACAACGACATTTATCGCTGCTTAACTTGATACTTACTATTTATTGTTCAAATTAAAATTGTGTTCAAATGTACAATTAGAATCTTGATGGTAAGTAATGGTACACTAAGAGCTCCTGCAGATTGCTTCCCAGCTGGCATGATTATACCACGATTAAAATGTTTCAACACATCAATTTAAGTGAGGTTTTGTGCTTGATTTGGTGGGGAAGCAACAACAACAAAATCTAGGGAACTTCTCCGTTTATCAAATCTTTTAAAGTACTACCATATGCTACACCAAATATAATACCTATGCCAATTTACATTAAATCTCCAGTCTGAAACCCTCAGTTGACCAACATCGTTTTTAGTAACAAAAATAGAAAATATATATGTTTCTATACATGCATACCTGTTTTTACATTTGTATCTATCCACTGTATATTTATATATACTCTTCACAGCAATAGTTCTTCATAAACAACACCATTTGACATCTACATAACTATCTTGTAGACATCTTATGACTGATTTAAAACAAAAATAATAAATAAATCTAACAAGTAGACTGTGTTTTGTATCAAAGCCAGAAGCCATGTACTTTATTTCTGTCATACTCCATGAAAAGCAGTAATGAGAGAAGAAGAGGTGCTATATGGAGCACCTATTACAGAGATGAGCATGAAGAAGTGGAGAGAAAGAAGGAGACAAGCAGATTTAATGGAATTTCCTATAAGAAATACTTACTCTTAATGAAAAATAAATATTGTCCTTCTGAAAGTGCTACATCAGTACATGTGAAGGAATCAGGAATACCTGCTTTTATTGGCTTACTCCAGCAGGCAACTGAAGTTCTTGCCCCAGAAACAAACATAAGGTGAAAACCTCACTACATCCGTTCTGTGCTGGCAGCTAGACTGGCTGAAAATTTCAGCATCTAACTGCCTCAAAAATGGAATTTTTGTTCAGAAATGCACAAGCACCACTGGTTTTCACCTACTTCTTTTGGAAAGGATGTAAAACCCTACTAATTTTGGGAGGATGGAAATAAATGCAGTCCCATTAGCGCATAGAAACCAATGTTCTGAATAATGCTAATTAACAGAAAACTAAGTGGGAAGATACATACTGGTCCATACTGCCAGCCAAGTTCAATCTTATTCATAACCCAAAGTTCATGGATGTTCTCTGCTAATTTTTCTCTAATCCTTTCCAGGTGGGGAGGCAAAACAATCTAGAGAGAGAAGGAAGGAAGAAAGAAGCCATTGTAAGTACATTGCTTGACAGTGTCACCTAAACTGTCATAACAGAAAAACTTTGTACAAACCAAATCTCTCAACTAAACTTCAGTCAGTTCTTACCGACTAAAGCGAGCAAGAATTCTTAGATCAACAGGAATACTTTAACCTATGCACTTAAAAGTTCCAGAGTTTGACCAACAAGGGAAGACAGTTTTAAATCCAACACTTCCAAAGGGCATGGAATGTATTCCTATCAGCTTGCTAGAAACTACTCAAACCAATAGAATTTCTCAGTTTAAAAAATGCTAAAAATGTCACCAACCAAGGTAATGTTGTTACAACACTTCAGACAAATATAAATATTTGAGAACTGAATGAACCCCATTTAAAAAAAAAAAAAAATTAAATTATGACAACAGGTAAGATGTGAAATCAGGCCAGCACATCAGCGTACTTGCAAAATTTAAAATCTATTCTTCTTTACCTCAGAAACCAGAGAGACCTCAAATATACAGTGCCATGAATCAAGATAATGTTACCCTAATATTTGGTGTTAGAGTAGTAATTACATGACACATGTAGAATGCTGTCTTTAGTGCATAATGGTAATAAACAAGCAGGTTTATTTTTGTTACAGGTTTATTTTCAGGAACTAGTTCCAAAATATAGTAAAATCCAAGCACATAATGTACAAGCATTTGTATAATCTCAAACTCAGTAACTGGAATTAAACAGTAATAAAAATGTCTAGTGACAGAGCAAGAAGTTCAAATAGTCTTTTTTGCCTACTCTAATATTAAGCATAAAACATTCTTTATAACACTATTTGTGGACTAAAATATATGAAATTTCTAGTGAGCACTCTACAAGTGATGAAATCTTCATCAGCTTCTCACAATGGAATATACCAACCCAATCTCATGAAAATACAAGTTCGATACAACCTGCAATTCAACCAAATGTGAAATAACATAGATCTATAATACGTGTGCTTAAAAATGGAGATGCAATCTCTCAGTTTCCATACCTGGCTAGTGTCCACAGGAACTGGAGTGAAAGCTGCTTGTGACAGAGAGACAGTGGGACCCAGTAGATCTCTTGTATAGCTACGATCCTGCTTGTACTCTCGGCTCTGCTCCACTTTCAGCTTCTCTTTCGGTAGCACAGCTTCAAAGCAAGGGGCGTATCCAGGTGGAGGAAGGAATTTGAACTCTCCATGGCGACCTCCAAGCAAGAAACGTACCCTGTAAACATCAGAGTTGCTTTAGATAACTAAGACATCTTTGGTGTCAAACCTAATCAGATTTGAATGTTATTTTTTAAAAAAGGAAAAAAAAAAAAAAAATCAGTGCTGCAGCTTCTTTACATTGTTTACAGTTCAACTTTCTCTAGTCCTGAGTTTATGAAGTAGGAGGTACAAAAAAACATGTGGAAATGTAAACAGTTCTTTCCTATTGTTAATTTCCTCTTCAATAAAAGCATTCTAAATCATGAGACCAAAGGAGAAGACACAGAGAGAAAGAGAGAGAGAATAATCAGTTTACTTGGCTTACCTACGAAGTAAACAGCAGCCTTTGGAATCTCAAAAGGCAGAGAGTATATATAACCCAGAGTAACCACCCCTAAACTCTCTCCATAGAGGAGTTCTCCATTCTCTTTCATTTGAGAAATGAGCCTGAAAACTCCATGGAATACAGTTCTTTTCTCTTACAGAACACTAAATCCTTAGGCCACAACACAAAACAATCCTATATTTTCTTTCCTAAATTTTCTACTTGCCATGTTAGTAGAAACCTAGGGGAAAGCATTATTTTATTCATTACAAACTGCTGAATTTATTATGGTTTTTTTTTTTACTGAAAAATTCAATGATTTAGGTGATCATGAAGTAGCAATGATATAATACTGAAAAATCTTCCCAGAACTTTGCCATCCAGAAGAAATCTAAGAACACCCAAAAAAACCCAGCTTTACAACAGAATCATTTTTTCTCTTTCCTATTTCCTGAGCATCTTCTAAGACTTCTGTCATTGCTATACAAGAACACTCCCCAAAAGCACACTCAGCACACTAATAAAATCTGTCAAATATTTCTCTCATGACAAGTATAAAGCATGGAGGTTTATAGTTTTGCATTTCATGGCACATATGTTTAGAGTTTCACCACATTGTATCTCTTGTATTATCCAAGTCTTAAAAAGTCTAAAAAAAAGTGCATTTTGCAACTGAAATTGGAGGCTGATATGCCCACTGTGTAATAGCTCTTTGCTTCTGTAGTATTCATCCCAGGCTTTGAATGATCCCTCACAGAACATTGCTGTCTCCACCAGAAATCAGCTTTTTTTTTGCCTTCACCAGTCCTGCTAAAGTTCCCCCGGGTGGAACATCACACAATGTTTTTTAATATGATGGTCTCAAAGTACTCAATACATGGAAGTAGAGGCCTGGCACCTCTAATGCAACTTGAATTTTTATAGAACACCAGTACAGCAATCAGAATACAGATTGACTCTATTCATACCAACTCATCCTGCTGACAAGAAA